GACAGGCCTGCGGGGGGGCTGGGCCGGAGTGGAGGCGGAGTGAAGGAGACCTGAAGCCAGCCTGGCCAAATAAGGGCAAATGCTCCCAGGCCCGCCAATGGTGCTCAGGCAGCAGCGTCACAGGGCTGTGGCTGGGAGGTGGGGGTGGGAAGGAGGTGAGAGGCCTGGGGCAAAATGGAAGGGTGGGGGATGGGGCAGGGGGCCCAGGCCTTCCAGGAAGTGATGCTGAGGTCAGTAGACCTGCACCCCCATGAGCCCCACCTCCAAGGTGGGGTTCAAGGAGGCAAAAGGAAGACAAGGGAGATACCATCACTCCTGCCCCAATGTGGACCCTAGATCCCCGCTTGCTGTGGCAGAACATTTGGGTTGATATACCAGCATAGCCTTGCCTGGCCACGGCCTTGGGCAAGTTATAAAACTAAAACTGAGTTTTCTTATCTGTGAAAGGGGTTTGTGCCTCACAGGATGACCAAATGCAATTAGTAGAGGTGGCTGGGTTTGGATTTGGTCATTGCCACACTGTGTAACAGATGATTATGATAGAAGCACCGGTCCCAGGGCTGCCTCAGTCATATTCTCCCCTCCCAGTTGCTGTGAAAGCTCCCTTTGCAAGCACCCCAAGCAAGTGGCCTCAATTCTGGTCTCTGGTGTCTATAAAAGGGGAAGAGGGGTGTAAAGGCCAAGGGACCTTCCCAAGCTTCGTCCCAACTGCTGAAGCAGAATAGATCTGTTTTCCTGTGGTTCACTGACCAGGGATTGATATGCCCACCTAGACCTTCATCTCCACAGAGCTCCAGACTCCACCCCATTCTGCTTGTTCCCCTGGGGTGCAGGACTGAGGAAGTGAGTCTACTCAGCTGCCCAGAGAAAGTGCCATTGCCACAGCTGCCTGCAGAAGGTGGGGGCAGCTGCTGTCTTCTCCCAGGACCTAGGATCGCAACCCTGCCCTGCCTCATGCCTACCCAGCCGGCTAAGACAGGAACCGTGCTTGCCACCCTCTTCCCCTCGTGGAGTTCTCCCTCCCCAGCTGGATTTGCATTTCCCCCTCTGCCCTCTTGCTACTCAAGCCTCTGGGGACAAGGTGACAGTTAAACCCCCTCTTCCGGCTAGTGGCCCCAGAACACTTGCTTCCTTCCAGGTATTTTCCGGGATGGGGGGAGGAGTTGAAAGAGTGGCAGATGCTGGGGAATAAGGAATCCATTTTGGAGCAAAGTTGGGGTTCCTGGCCTATGGGGTCTGAAGTTGCTCATCAGCTTTCCTCAAGTTCTCTCTGTAGCACAAAAGGCCAGATTGGGGGAAAGCGAGGGCCCAGGCAGGACGCATCAGATCAGGTTTTTGAAATGGGCCTGTAGCTTCCTGACTTCTTACAAGACCAGAGCCCTCTCTGTTGTGAGACGGACCCTCAAGAAAAGCTTGGACTTTCGCCCTCCATCCATGAGACCATAATGCCTGCCCTCCACTATAGGGACAGTGTTGTGAAATAATGTGCTGAGGTGTAGAAAAATTTATGTATGATAGATGTTAGAACATCTATTGCCTCAAGGGATGACGTTCTTGCCATGCTAACCTAGAAATTATGGAGAGGTGGACAACTTTGGTTGACGAAAACTCCTTAGATGCACAGCTCCTCAAAGTACTTTTATCTAAATTAGCGTATTTGATTCTTGTAACTATTCCAAGACAGAGCCCACCAATTTCACCAGAAATATACAAGTAGAAAAGTAAACAAATCATGAATATATAATAATAAACTTTCAGAAAGTGAACTAGCCTATGTAACTAGCATCCAAATCAAGAAAGACTATATCCAGGGGCCTCCCTGGTGGCTCAAGGGGTTAAGATGCAACCTATCAAACTATTCACAGCCACAGCAGCACGAGCTCGATCCCCAGCTAGGAAGCTACCCACATGGTGCAGCAGGCCTCTCCTGACTCGCTGGCTGTTCCCCTCAGTGTACTTCAATCTGCCTGTTCTGTTCCTCACTCTGTCTCTGGTGAATCCTCTCACCCCCCACACCTCTGGCCTGTACTCCATTTTTGTATGCATAAATAAATAAATCTTTAAAAAAAAAAACTATATCCGGCACCACTATTCTAACCCTGACACCATACTTCTGTTAACTACATTTTAGAGAGAAAACTTTTGACTTTGAAAAGTTCGAGCTAGTGGGTGGTAGAGGCAGCAGGACTGGGAGGCAGGAACAATCACCCTAGTTGGACAGGTGCATTTTCATCACGAGTCTAAATGTTCCTGCTCAGTGTGAAGGGGCCATTAGTAGGTTGCAGATGGAGAGAGGTGGCAAGGAGAAAAAGGCAGAAAACAGGTTGAGAAGGATGGGGTACAAGCCAGCAAATTCCTAAGAGTTGCTGGGGCAGAACAGAAGATGCAGCCAGGTGAGAACTGGAGAAGGGCTGGATATGTTTCCCAATGCTTTGCACAGAGATCCTTGAGTAAATTCCCATGATCTCCCTCTGGCTAATTTTAGACATGGGGATTAGAAATATAGAGGGTGGGAGTAGGGTAGTGTGTGTGGGGGTGTCAGTAAGAACATATAATTTTCATTCAATAATAAGCTATTGTCTCATGCAGGTTTTGTGGCATTCTCAGGGAGTAAACCTGCTGTGTTTGTGGATAACTGTCAGAAACAGCAGCCCTAAATTGGGAGGGGGCAATGTAGTTCTTGAGCTAAGGCTCCACTATTTGATCGTGGCCAAGTCACTCAACACTGAGCCTGTCTCATCACTAAATAAGGCATACTAATGATGACACAGAGGGTTTTGGTGAGGATCAAATAAGATAGAGGACATGAAAGCCCTTTTGTCAACTGTAAAATGCTCTTTCAACAAAACGCTTTCGTGATACTAAACATAAACCAGACTTCCAGACAAAGGTGTTATTAGTCTGTTTTTAAGCATTACCTACCTCTTTTATACACATACAGATCAGGTGTCAGGGAGGGCTAAAGTGAGGATTGAATAGCAGGTTATAGACAGACTGGGAGAGCCTGGGTCCAAAGAAGTGAGGTCTGGTCCCCAAATCTGGAGATTCCAGGCTGAGGTTACTGTTGCAAAAAATTACTAGCCCAGCCCCATTACTTTTGAGGAAACTGCTCCCCTCCAAAGCCAGAATGTCCTGACCCTTATTTTATCAGTTATCAACTTCTGCCCTGCACTGAAGGCAACGCTACTATAAAATGACACTGAGCCATCAGTTTGTGAGGGCTCAGTCTGTGGTGGGTAGGAATAAAAAATGAGGAACAAGTAGGCCCAGGGAAGGCAGCCCGGTCACCAGTTTCCCATGTCTGATGTGTCCTTGCTCAACTAGGGGAGAGCCTTGCCTTTCTGAAGACACCAAACTATTGGGCAAGACACCAAGGGACAATCTTTTGACCCTGGGCAGATGGGGGACCCCAGTGGTCAGAATGGGGCTGAAACTTTGACAGGCACGGTGGGAAAGGCATAGCCCTCATGGACTTAGAAGGCAGGGCAGCCATAACAGCGCCTGGAATCTCCTCTTCCACACAGCACTCCCTTGAAGAACAGACTGTTTTTTTGGATTCCCAGCAGAAGGGACTCCAGCACCTTACTGCCTATTTGGGTTGGTGAGCGGCACCAGAAGGATGTTCAAGGACCAGAGAAGACATGTGAAATCAGCAAGCACCCAGGCTGAGCACACTTGGCACACCCTGTCTATGAAATCCCACCACTGCATCTGGCTACCCCACCCCACCCCCACAGTGCCCAAATCTTTCGCTTCCTACAGGCTGACAGTTAGGGCCCCAGCTCAGCGTTGGGTCGAGGCACCCCAAGTGTGGTTATTTATGCACAGGTCCTCTTGCCTCCCTCCCCACAACTGTTTCCATTCTCTTCGAGCAGCCACGTCCGGGTCAGACACGCAGGACAGCAGCTGGGGATTTCCAAGGGACTTTTTGTGAAAGCCAGTGAAAGTTGGGTGTTGGTTGCACAGCTTAGGCACTCACTGAAACCCACATCTTCCCTCCAGGATGTAAGTTCTAGCCTGGTGGGGCTGCTTCCCAAAGCTCCTTTTAAGATTGAGATTGAACAAAAACCACCTCTCCTACAGCTCTTTCAATTTTGCTGGGCTGGGGAAATTCTTTAAAATCTTAGTTTGGAATTGGAGTTAATAGATCATTCCCTCAGAGTTTAAAGGCATCAGAGAAGATGGTTCTGGTTTGAGTACGAGTGAGCCTAGCCAGTCCTAGCTTTCATCCCTTAGGCCTATGGGAGGAGACAGGCAGGTGGTACTGGCTATTCAGCCTCTCTTCTTCCTACCCTCTCCAGGCCAAAGGTAACAAAAGAAACTGACTCACTAGCAACACCAGGTGGCTGAGACACACAAAGCCAGTGAAGGCACCACTGCTGACATCAGAACGGTGGTTTGGGGCATATTCTCCCCATCCCCCACTATATTTGTTGATTGTGCACATAGTGTATATTTGTTAATAAAGAGAGCAAATCAAGGGCCTCCCTGGTGGTGCAAGGGGTTAAGCACCGCACTATGAAGCAGTCTGCAGCCTCTGCAGCATGAGTTTGATACCCAGCCGGCCAGGGAGCAACCCACATGGCACAGCAGACCTCTCCTGTCTTGCCCACTGCTTCCCTTAGCAGTGTATTTCAGTCAATCTGCCTGTTCTGTTCCCCACTCTGTATCTGGTGGATCCTCTCACCCCCTGCATCTCTGGCCTGTGCCCCAGCTCTTGTACACATAAATAAATCTTTAAAAAAAGAGCAGGGCCGCACTGTGAAGCTCTCCGCAGCCTCCGCAGTGTGGGTTTGATCCCAGCCGGCAAGAATCCCACATGTCTCACCCGCTGCTCCCCTCAGCAGTGTATTTTGTTAGTCTGCTTGTTCTGTTCCCCACTCTGTCTCTGGTAAATCTTCTCACCCTCCCGCGCATCTGGCCTATACCCCGGTTCTTGTATAAAAATAATAAATCTTAAAAAAAAAAAAAAAGAGCAAATCAATTTTACTTTTTATAAAAACTTATGTTATAGAACTTTCACAATGCTTCATTTTTACAATCTAAAAATCCTGAGATAGGCAGACTGTAATTCTTGTTTTACAGAGAACAAGAAACTTAAGGAAAATCAAAATGGGGTACTGAAAGGGGTTTTTAATGGAAATTTTAGTAAATGAGAATTTATAATAAAATTAAAATTCCAAAATAAGTAACTCACCTTCCTCCCCTACTAGAGGAGAAGCCTACCTCCTACGGAGACACAGAGTTTAACCAGGTCAATATCCAGCAGCCCCCTGAGGGTCTCCCGTTAGGGGAATACAGAACGTGGGTGAACAGAGGATGAGGCGGTCAGGGGTTCCCTGACTAGCCTAAGGTATAGGAAAAGCAATGAAAAAAAGAAAACACCCTTAAAAGACAACCTGATGAGCCAGATTTAGAGAGCAGTAGGCTACAACTGACAGACATCAGGACAACCATGCTGAAAGGGTTGCTCGGACTTAGGCCAGCAGAGACCCAAGGAAGCACACTAGAAAAGGCTGCAACTGTGGAGGCTCCGAGACAGGGGACAGGTAACTGGGAGCAGAAGGGCCTCTGCTGCTCTGGGAAGGTGCTTACAGTGTGAGTTTTTAATGTGTACCAGGTAAGAGGAAGGAAGAGAGAGGCAAGGCAACTGGCATGGGCTTAAGAACCTTCCTAGGGGTTCACATTTATTGGCATTTGACAGTTTTGCCCATGGACAAGGGCTCAGCCCTGGGCTGTGAGTAGGAAAACCAGCATCCTACTTACCACTCAATTCAGTTTGTTAATCCAATAACCCAAAACTCCTCCCACCCACCCCAACCCAGTAGTCCAAATGTAAAATGACCTAGGAACAGGCTGTTTCACAATTAAGAGGCTGAAGTTCTGCTTGTTTAGTTCCACAACAAAAATAAGCAGAAGCAGGAGGTGGGGAGCAAAGATGCTGGTGGCAATCCATCTTCCTAGGTCTTTATAGCTGTGTCTCTGGATTTGTAGACCACTCCTCGACTTTTTAGCTCCCGTACAATTCCTGCAGCAGGAAAAGAGACAGCTCTATAAGGAAAGAAGATCCCAAAAGATAAGAAAGGTACTTTGGGGGGGGTGGGGTGTTTCTAAATAAGCTGGTTTCTTGACTGTTCATCAATGATTCTACTTGGTTGACTTGTTACCAGTGAAGATCCAGAACAAAAACTTGGCAATAACTTGGTAAGAATGAGATGAAAAATACACTGTAGCTGTTAAAAGCAAGGGTTCTGGAGCCAGATGCCTGGGTTCAAATTCTGGCTCCTATTACTAGCTAACTGGGTGACTTTGGGCAAGTTATTTAACCTATCTGTGCCTTAGTTCCCCCAGAGTTATAGGAAATGGCATTAATTCACATAAAGGACTTCAACAGAACATAGCACAGTAAATAAGCATTGGCTGTTATGATTATTATTACCTTGTGGCAGGCGACCAGTGACAGACACCGCATACACACCCGGCTTAAAGTTGCCTAAAAGAGAAGAAAAGAGAGCAATGACTGAATTAATACTAAAGACCAAATGGAGATGCAAGTTAAAAATCAAAGAAATGCAGCAACTCCAAGAGAAAAGCAATTATTTCTTTTGGCTGTAAGAATGAAACTGACAGGGCACAGGACACTTTCCTTATCTTTCCTATAGACCTTCGTTCTCAGCTTAAGTCCCTTCAACTCGTTGATTTAAGAATCCTCCCCCACGCCCCCAATGGACCTAAGAAACAGCATCAACAACACAACTAGGTTAGGATAAGGAGAAAGGGAGACACTTACTGACTCGTTGCCACTTGGAGACCCAGCTGTCCTCTGGACTCATCATTGCGATAATTCTAGAAAGGAAAGGAAATAGAGTTAAGCACTGAGTGAACCTCCCCTGCCAAAGAAGAGGGAGTACAAGGGAAGGTGCAAGCACTGTGTTCCCAGCCAGCACAATAGTTCTGGAGGAGAAACCTAGGAGAAAGTCAAGTACTGAGTCTCTACTAGAAAGAAAAGGAAACTAAGTTCTAATGCTGAGAAATAGCTGACTAAAAGTTAATACTGACAAATGTGCTGTGCACTTTGTGTGCCTCACCTGCCAGTCACAGGTCAGTCAACATCCCCTAAAGACTCCCACTAGGCGCAAAACTATCCTTAGCCCAGATACCCTGGGAAAGGGGACAGCTTTAGAGGTTAACTGGCCAGTGCTGCAACCAACACAACCACTAGGGGGCTGGGAATCTAGTGCAAATGGGGAAAGTTAAACAATGGATCCTCCTATCAGAAATAAGTTAGACTTGGCCAAGCTGTGTTTCTAATAAACTATGAAGTCTGACATAGAAAGCTCTTAGAACTTTATCATTGAGATGAACTAATACATGAAAAATGCTTACCACTGAATAGGAGCTAAATAAGCCTTAGCAGTCCTTGTCATTCTAATAGTCCTTTACAGGGTAGCTCTGATCCCAGGTCACAGGCCTCAGAAAGGTTACTCAAGGGCCAGATGCCTGTTACTTGAACATGACAGGCAAGCATAAGGTGCTTTCTGAAATGACAGACTGAACTGTCATTCAATCAAGTGCATAAAGATTGCCTGTGACTCTTAAAAAAAAAAAAAAAAAAAAAAAGATTGCCTGTGACAGATCTGTTCTAGACACTGACATTTGCTGACTGTCTCAACATCCATTACCTATTCTCTTGGCAACAATCTTGACTTATTTGCGAAGCATCCCTCCCCATCCAAATGGGCCATTCTCGGCCATATGCCTTGAATGAAACTGACCCTCCCTCCAGGGGTAGTGCTTTATCCAACATGGAAATTGCTTCATTTTTTTTTTAGTGTTAAATGATACAGTGCTGATAAATGAAGGAACTGGAGTTATCTAAGCATGCACATGCACAAGCTCCCAAAGGTTTCATGACACCTTTTTTGCCCAATGGTTATTCTTCCCTAAAGGAAATTCAAGATGAATGGGCTTGACCCACCTTGAAGGAATTTCAGCTAGGCCTGGCTTTGAGCTTAGTTTGTATATAAACCCTTAATCAACCAAGAAGCAAAATGACTCCTAACTTAAGGAAGGAAAACTGAGACATGGTCACATTTCTCTCCTTCCCCTCCTCCCCACTGGATAATCTAACCAAAGGAAACTTTTTCTTACAGCCTTTTAGAGATATCTAAAAGCATCAGCTCTGGGGCAATAATCTACTTTACTGTATGTCAGCTTCTCTTCATTTTCAAAAAGGGTTTTCATACATTCAACAAATATGTGTTAAGCATCCACCACCTCCCAGGCCCTGAGCCAGGACAGGAGACAAAATAAATACAGTTCCTTCCAATAATGAGCTAACAGTGTACTGATGAGTTAATGGAATTATAATGAAACCACACAAGTCATTTTAAGTTTCCTAACAGTCATACTTACACAAACAGATTAAGATATTTTACATTCTTTTTCTTGTGCCAAATCTTTGAAATCAGTGTATTATATTTTACAAATTAAGCATTATCTCAACCTGGACTAGCCACATTTCAAGTGCTCAGTAACCACATGTGGTCAGTAGTTACTGTACTGAACTTGTGTGGACCTGCCTCAAAATAACTAAAACTAATAGGATTATGCTCTTAAAGGTCTGCCAAACATTTACCTTGGGGGGGGGAGGGGTGTGTGGAGGGGTGGGTAAAGCAGAAGTGAATGAAGGGCCCTAAAGGGGCTTACCCATCAAAGGAAGAGCTAGTGCAGTCATAGACCATCTCTCGGTTTCCCTTCATCTGAAGGTATGCATCACAATTGTCACAGCCGTCATATTCAAACTGGTCTATGGTCTGGGGAGTAGAGAGAGAGATGAGCAATGAACAAGGTCAAAAGAAAACACAACTTTGCCACACTTCTTTCTGGCCAAGGAGAAGGCTCCATTACTTGGCTCTGTCTTATCAAGTTCCCCCCGCACCCTTCATTCTCACAGCCCCATTCCTAAGTTCCACCTCAACACTCAAGATGTCTCATGTCTTCAGCTGAGTTCTACTATTCCTTTCCCTAATCCCCTCAGGATAAGGTTCTCTCTACCCCTACACCTTCAGCTGCAGTCTCCTCTTACTCCCGCAGTATTTCGGCTTCAAGCTCGCTGAACTCACTGAATGTCTGTTAAGGGTCAGGCCTGCGGGTAAGAGCTGTCGATTCGCAATGGCATGTAAGACGGTTCAAGGAGCAATTCCAAGATCCGCTCGCGTTCCAAGGCACGTCAACAATGGCCTATCCACTTCCCACACCCGCTGCCATCCCCTGGGTCCCGGACCTCAGTTTTTCCCTCACCGTCTCCCAGCTCGTCCCACCCTCTTTCCCCTAATTTGGTACCCCCGTAGCCCGTACAACCAGGTTCCCTACGGATACCTTGACCAGTGAACACAGCAAACAAGCCCGCAGATGCCGCAGATCCTTCGGCACCGTCTCCAGGGCCATCTTCCCCGACTGGAAGGCGAGCAGCGAATGCCTGGGCCGGCGCTCCGCGCCGTAGGAAGTAAACAGTGGATTACCCAGAATGCCCTCGACGTCCGGCGCTCCGACTTCCTCTTCCGGTGTGGCGGCCACGGGCCCCGCCCTTCCCCCCCCCCCCCGCTTTAGCAGATGGTTTCTCCCGGGAGTCACCTGGGCCGGCGCGCGCCCGCACCACCTGGGCCGGCGCGAGGGCGAGGCTGGGCGGCCGTTGGGCCTGAGGGCGGGCCCGGGGGAGGGGCGGCGCGGTTGGCGCCTGCGCGGGAGCGCGCCGGGTCCCGCCGGGCCCGGATGGCGCGGGCCGTTTGATCTGGGCTCCTGTCACCAGGCCGCGGGTCGCCGGAGGAGCCCAGATGACTGTGGAGATTCGTTTTGTCTTCTCGTTTTAAAAGCTCAGGGCCAAAGAATCTACTATCTCCCTCTGGATTATCTCTACGGAGACGAAAAGAAATCCAGTGACACCCCCCCTCCACCAGCCCGCCCCACCCCAACTTGGAGAGATTGTGGGGTTTCCATTTGCAGTCCACAGGAATGCTGGCCTGTGAGCAGACGGTGGAAAAAATGCATATTTAATTATTTTATAAGACTCTTTAAGTACGTTTCCACGTTACGGCTGATAATTTATGCTTTGTGCAGCTTTTAGCATTTAGACACAGTTCCTTTATTTCAAAACATCTGTAGGGGATTAAGTGTCCTTTAATTTTTTTTTCCCCATTACACCCTATCAAGAGCAAAATGCTTTGCTCTCTTGTTCAAAACTGGGCACCAGACAACCACTCTTACCAAACCTTTCCCGGAGAAGTAGAAGGGGGAAATGTGTTTTGTGGGGAGGAAAGCAATGTCCTCTCCAGCCCCTCTGGGTTCTTCATATGGACATAGCACCAGCTCTTTGATTCTCACCATAGTCCCGCGTGTAGGCAGAGTACAGTCATTTGTGTTTAACTGTATTGGAGCTTTGGGATATAATTTCAGGCCCTACTGTTATATCTGTTAAAAATAAAAGAAAAAAAAAATCGCCCACTATGGAGTCCTTCATGTTGCCCCCCCACCCAGATTTAATCCCTAATCTCATTGCAGTTTCTACCTCTCCCAAAAGTGCAGTCCTAATCCAATCAATATGGGGGTTCCAGATCATCATAAGACCTCCCTGCCTGCCTGGGAAGATGGTTTTTACTTGCAATGATATTTTCTTTTGCTAATAACCTTGTTCCACCCTCTCATTGTCTATTGATACCCTCCATTTTGTGTAACCCTTTGCAGTATCTCATGAAGTGTTTAATTAAAGCCAATTAGATCTATATTTATGAATTTTGTTTTTTAACAGTTTGGTGGCAGCAGATGGGATCTGAAGGGAACTTCCAGCAGCAAGCTGGCATGATGCCTGCGAACCTTGAGTTCTCTCTCTCCCTATTTCCAAGCTCCCCATCTAATCGGCTTTTCTGACCAGGGCTTAGTGAGTAGGTCCTTAGCCCTTGGTTTTGTCTGCATTCCACATTGGAGGTCTGTTTCCTGCATTCTGTGTGGGAACTGTAGGTGAGAGTTGTTATCCAATTTTGGAATCCTTCTCTTCCCATTACTTTCTAGTCTGCAGTCCCTTTTACTAGGGTCTGCTGGCTTAGTTCACAAACTGGACAGAGGTCCAGGGGTTAGCCAGTCAGGTTGGACTAAGTCCAAGGGAGATTGGACTGAGGTCTAGGATTAGCTAATCAGGGTCAGACTAAGTCCGAGGCAAACTGGCCTAAGTCCAGGACAGCTGAACTATCAGGATCAGCGGGGGTTCAGTTTAGTCAGAAGTAGCACGTAAACCCCAACACTTGGTTTTGTCCCAGATTTTGACTGAGAATTGTGGGTGAGAGCTGCAGTCTCCATTGTTTGGACTCCTTCCCCAGCTTCCAGGTTGGGCACTATTGGTGGCAGCTGCAGTTCTCGGTTTGTTATAGGACAGGGAGAGGGGTAGCCCAAGCCCCGCAAACCTGCCTATTCTAAATGGGTTCTGCCATCCGCCGCATCAACACAAAACATAGGAGACTTTAATGGGAAGGAACTTTAATAAATGCTAATGAGACAGTAGAGATTACAAAAAGAAAGAAAAAAGAAAAAAAAAAAAGTTCCAAAGTCCTAGCAACAAGAAACTCTGAATTTTACAAGAGCCAGCCAAGTGGCCTCAGATGCCATCTTTGATCTGGCCACATGGTCCTACGTACTGCCTAATCTTTTGAGTAAAACTGGCACAGAACAATTTCCACAAAATCAAATGTCTTAGCAAGTCACTACAAACAAATTACATACAGACACACCGATCTTCACAAAGCCCAAGCCAGTTTTTCAACAGCAAATCGACATATGAAACAAACACACTGGAGAAACCAAAAATCACATTTGCGCTTATGGTAGCCAGTGCCATAGGGAAGCCCAATTTCCCCATGGGGCTGACTAACCACGGATGGCTCTGTCCTAAATCACGTTGGACGCCAAATCTGTTATAGGACAGGGAGAGGGGTAGCCCAAGCCCCGCAAACCTGCCTATTCTAAATGGGTTCTGCCATCCGCCGCATCAACACAAAACATAGGAGACTTTAATGGGAAGGAACTTTAATAAAACTAGGAAACAATACAGGTAAGGCAAAGAGTCTAGTTTCTAAATGAAGTACCCAAAGTTACCCGTCCCCTCGTGGGTAAAAGTCCATCCATATGGGATTGGCCCAGAACAAGGCCCCAAAGCCTGCCACAAGTCTAAAGCATCTTCCTGTGGGGGCCCACAGAAAAGGGTCACAAACAACCAGACAAGCCCGGAAGGAAAAGAGCAAAATCAACATCAAGATAAAAACTGCCATTGTCACCTCCCCACGGGTCTCACCCACATCTGTGTCACCCAGTCTACGACCAAAAGACAAGCGCAGTTTCTTCACATGTCTCTAGGCTCCATGCGCCTCCTCCAGGTCTCCTGGCTCCATCCTGCTTCCTTCCTCAGTCTCTTCTGCCGCTTCTCCTCTTCCTGCTCAGCTCCACCCTCCCTTGGGTGGGGCAGGGAACCTGGAACTTCCCCCTTTCCTGGGGACCACCCTGTTACAGGTTTAGTCAGAATCAGTCTATAGACCTCATTCTTTGCAGTCTCCTGTTCCCATTCTCCAGATGGCTACCACTCGGTTCCACAGTTTCCACTCTTTGGATGCTGTTGGAGTATGGCACATAAAGGCAACTCCTAAAAGAAAATTTTGGGGGCCAAAGAGCTTAGGTAGAGTTTAGGAATTAGTTTGGGTTCAAAAAAATTCAAAAGTCTACCTAAAAGAAATGAGATTCTATTTAAAGAGTTGAATGTGCTTTATATTTAAGAAGCTGCAGAAAGCTGCAACTATATGAAAAACTGCAAGATCTGTCCGAAAATAGGCTAGATTACATTGGTGGTTATGAGCAAGCACCAATTAGGCAAGATCGTTTATCTAACAAGCACACTTGAAAGTAAGAGTTCCAGTCTTCAACCTGAACCACCATCTTCCAGTAAAGTGCCAAAATGACCCAGACAAAGGACAAGAGGCACGGCACCTGCTGTATGTGCTCCAGGCCTTTCAGAAAACATGAAGTTACTCCTTTGGTCATATACATATATAAATCTACAAGAAAGGTGGTGTTGTAGACATCAAGGGGGATGGGTACTGTTCAAGAAGGAATGCCCCACACATGTTACCATGGCAAAACTGAGAGTCTATAATGTTACCCAGCATGCAGTCATCATTATCGTAAATACACAAGGAAAGGGCAAAATTCTTGCCAAGAGAATTAATGTTCGTCTTGAGCATATGAAGCATTCCAAGAGCTGTGATAACTCTCTGAAATGTGAAAGAAAATGATCAGAAAAAAAAAGGAAGCCGAAGAGAAAGATGCTTGTATTCAACCAGCCTGTTCCACCCAGAGAAATAGACTTTGTGAGAATCCATGGAAAGGAGACTGAGCTGCTGGAACCCATCCCCTAGGAATTCATGGCATGATGGGTGTGGGAAAAAAATAAAAGACCTGGGCCTCCCCGGTGGCGCAGCGGTAGAGCGCTGGGTTGAGAAGCTGCCCGCAGCCTCTGCGGCGCCGGTTCCATCCCCGGCTGCTCCCCAGCCACCGGAGGAGGGTCCCACATGGCGGGCAGACCTCTCCTGCCGCCCGCTGCTCCCCTCAGCAGTGTACTTTGGTCCTTCTGCCTGCTCTGCTCCCCGCTCTGGCTCTGGTGAATTCTCTCACCCTCCTGCTTCTGACTGTACCCAGTGCTTGTATAAACAAAACAAACAAACAAACAAACAAATAATAAAAACATGCCTCTATTAAAAAAAAATCTTTATAAAAAAAATAAAAGACCTGTGGACTAAAAGAAAAAGGAAAAAGAAAGTAAGAGTTCCCATTGATTCATTGAAATTAAAGATATGAAGTACCTAAACCAAAGGACAACATGGCAGATGTGGTGACTCCTACTCGCCCCTGTCCTTTCTTCTCTCTGAGTTCTTACTTTTACTAGTTCTCTGAATTGTCTGTTTGGAAGAGACTGCATGATTATAAACCAAAGCCCATCAGGCTAGTCACCATATAGCCCCTCCCAGGACTCAGGGATTTTCTGGGAAATTGCTACTGAAACAGGGTGGTCCCCAGGTAAAGGGGAAGTTTCAGGTTCCCTGCCCCACCCAAGGGAGGTTGGAACTGAGCAGAGAGGAGAAAAAGCTGGAGATTGAGGAAAGAATGAAGCAGGATGGAGAGCCAGAAGGAGACTTAGAGGAGACACATGGAGCCCAGAGACATGTGAAGAAACTGCGCTTGCCTTTTGGTAGTGGACTGGTTGAAACCAGATGTGGGTGAGAGACTGGTGGGGAGGGTAAAAATGGCAGCTTTTACCTTGATTTTGACTTTGCTCTTTTCCTCCCAGACTTGTCTGGTTTTTCTGATCCTTTTCTGTGGTTCCCCACTGGAAGGTGCCTTAGACTTGGGGCAGGCTTTCGGGCCTTGCCCTGGGCCAATCCTGTTTGGGTGGACTTTTACCCACAAGGAGATGGGTAATTTTGGGTGTTTGATTTAGAAACG